TGCACCATTCTATCTGGCCATTTATTTATTTATTTTTATGAGATAGGGTCTTGCTATATAGTTCAGGCTGGCCTTGAGCTCACTATGTAGCTCATGCACACCATGCCTGGCCAGACCCCAGTTCTAAAGCTCCCATGATCCCTACCACCCAAACAGAATCCAGGGTTTGTCTAAAGGTAGCAGGTAAGCCAAGCCCTTTTCTTTTAGATATGGGAACCATGTCTTTGCTTTCAATCCCCTTCTTTGTCTCACTTAGGGGGCTGATGGCCTTATCACCATACCAAGCCTCTGCCTTACACCTTAAAAACAATAATTTTCACACATTCCTTTCTAGCACTTCCAACCTGTCCCCATTAATGGGATGAAATATGCTTTCCGAATTACATTCCACCATTACCATTCAGAGCTCTCCAACCTTAGCTGGTCTTCTGGTTGGCCCATCCCCCTTCTCAACCCAGATGCTTCAAACTTTTCCTCATGTTCTAGTCCAATAAGTCAACCCCACCATGTGGGAAACTAAATACCCTCAGTAGCTTCTTACCACACTCCTATCAAGGTTGACCTCAAAGACCCCACACCAACAGGACATAAGCCATCTGGGGACTCGAAGCTACTCTCTCCAAACTCCTCTGACTCCTCCATTTCTCCTCCTTTATAGCCAACCCAGAAAAACATTGATCAACATGATCGAAGTGACAAACTGAGCCAATCCATGACTATCCACCTACTACTCTGTGACCTTATTCGGCTACTCCTCAAAGACCACCACCAGGGATTTCATAACTTTTTCTCCTGATAACCTCTCAGCCTGACTAGAGGTACCTGTATTACACTGGGTCTCAATTCATCTAGCCCCAAACTCACCACCATCTATTTGATCTTCATAACCCCTGAACACTCCTTCAATCTCACCCTCAACCTTTTCTTTTTTTGTTTTTTTGTATGTACTTGAGACTGACCTGGAACTCACTAGTAGCCCTGGCTGGTTGTGAAGTCACAGCGATTCTCCTGCCTCAGCCTCCCTAGTGCTGGGATCACCCTCAACCTTTAAACAGATAAATCCCTTTCTGGGCCAAGACAGCTAGCTGTGCCTATCTCTATCATCTTCAGTTTATATGGCAATCCCCACTTCCAGATAAGCCTAATCAATTACCTAATTAAGGCACAACTTGCTCTACAAAAGGCCCAAGCTTTAAAGATAAGACCAACACACCCTTAAATCACATCTAACAGCCTTGGCAGACAGAGCCACCAAACTCAGATGTGTTTCACTAATTTCTCTAAATTCGCTATAACTACCCTCTCCCCATTACTGGTCCCATAACCCTTGATATTCCCTCTTCTATCAAGCCCCCTTTACATTTCCTGTGAGTTAACATTTAACAGTCCCTTCACGGAGAATATTTCTCAATGTAACCAAATCATCACTTTCAAGAGCCCTCAAAGACTATGAGTTTCATTGGCTCAATTATAGCATCTCAATCAATCACCAACAAATCCCTCCTAGGGGAAAAAACATAATCCTAAACAACGCCCCAACACAGCAGAAAGTGCCCAAAAGGTTACCCAGTTTGTAAGCTCTAAGTTTAAAGAAAACAAAGACACTCTGCTTCAAAGAAAGAAAAGAAGCAGGGGAAAGAAAGCTATCCTGAGAGAGGGTAGGGGGTTCCAGAGAAATGGATGATTTCTGGGCCCTTTGTTCTCGGCTATTTGATTGGGTGCCAGAGCCCCTCTCCCTACTTGGAACCTGTCATAACCCAATTGGTTCTCTGGGTGGTCAGAGAAGGATCTTAGCCTCTAAGACCCTTAACCCCCATGGCATCATACGGTGCACATTCCTAAGTGGTCTTTATTTGATTTTCTCTTGCCCTGTCAGGCCCAATCTCTATAATTTATAGGTTGGTGAAAATGAACCTTACATACAAGGTTGAGTCAGTAATTAAATAAAGGGAAACACACAAGAGAATATATACGTGTGTGAGTGTGTGTGTGTGTGTGTGTGTGTGTGTACTACTGAATAAGAGCTTTTTAGTGGCTGCCCCTTGTTTCCTTTGCATTTTATTGAAGATGGGGAAGGGCTAATTTGGTTAGGGTGCCTGCCTGGCTTATCTGCTTTTTCTTGTCTTGTTAACAGCTTCCTCAGTAAAGCTTTAACTCTTTCTGATCAGGATTAGCCAGACCCTTTCCAATCTATAGACTCCTTCCCCCTACACTTGCTGAACCCAACATCTTTCTTTTTACTTTTTTCTATTTCTCCATAACAAAAGGCTGAAATATTATTTTAAAGCACCCCCCCCAATTCACAGCAGTTTAACTTCTACTCTAGCACTGACTTTTTTTTTGTACTGGGGATCAAACTCTAGACTTTGCACTTATAAGGCAGGCAGTGGAACCACTGAGCTAAATCCGCAGCCCTAATTTCTTTTTCTTTTTTTTTTCTTTGGTACCGGGGATTGAACTCAGGACCTTGGGCTTGCAAGGCAGGCCACCGAACCGCTGAGCTAAATCCCTGGCCCCTTCCAGCCCTAATAATTTCTATTCTAGATAGGTGAAAAGCTAGCTAACTTTCTCATTCCATCCCTCATTCCATTTAGGGCCCAAGCTCCACCTCCTACCCCAGGCTTAAAGGTTGTTGCCCTGCCTCTTGGGGGTGGGCTGAAGTCACTACTTCTGAGTCTAACTTGCTGCTGTACCTTTGCTAATAAATCTGCCCCTATTGGTGATCTCTGGGTCTTAAATATATCTAGCATTTTCATTGTTTATAATACTAAAAGCTGACATTTATTGAGTATTTACTGTGTGCCAGGTACTATACTAAGATTACTACATACTGTATTCATTAATTTATTTTTGTTCCCATTTTTAGATGGCAGAATACAGACACAAAAGGTTAAAGCAGGACTCAATCCTCAGGTGTCAAAGCTGAGATTTGAACTCAAGAAAACTAATCCACTGTTAATCACTGTGTCTGAATTCTTTTTTTGTTTTGTTTTGTTTTTTGAGACAGGATCTCACTATGTAGTTGAGACTGACCTGCAACTCACTATGTAGCTCAGGCTGGTCTCAAACTCACAGTGATCCTCCTGCCTCAGCCTCCCGAGTGCTTGGATTACAGGTGTGTGTCACCATGTCGGGCCTTGAATTCTTTTTTTTTTTTTTGGTATTGGTGATCAAACTCAGGACTTCATGCTTGTGAGAAAGGCAACAGAACCTCTGAGCTAAATCCCCGGCCCTTGTGGCTGAATTCTTACTAGGCAGAAATTCCCAAAACCCTCAAGACAAAGAGCAGGCTTAAGGAATAACACCAGATAAAAGGCAAAAGAATAATCAGTAAGTTAAATTTATCTTTCTTCTGATACTGTTACCTTAACTGCGGGAAGCTGAAAGTGCCAGGAAATGTACAAATGCTTTTGGGGTAGAAATTTTTCCCATCTTTTTTTTTTTTTTTTTTTGGTACTGGGGATTGAATTTGGGTCCTTGGGCTTGTGAGGCAGGCGGCCAAACCACTGAGCCAAATCCCCTGCCCTCCCATCTTCTTAAATAACCTTTATTCTGAATGTCCATTTGAGATTTGTTTTTTATTTTAACTGTACCCTACTTTGGTGTACAGTGTAATAATTTAAGTATATAATGTATAATGATCAAAACAGGATAATTGGCATTTCTATCCCTTTAAACATTTTTTTCCTTGAGATTCACACTAGTTCCTTCTGCGCCATAGTTTTTGTAATATATAGCCAGCCGAGGAAACAAAACAGAATCCTCCTCAGGTTTTATCAGTCACACAGATCTTGGTTATATTTTAAGTCACACCCAAACTCACAAAAGTCTTTTACCTGAAAATGTTGGTTAAGAATTTTAGGTATCGTTACTTGATTAAGGCTATTTTCCCACTGGCTTACAAAAAAGACTGAAAATGACTCATCATCAAAATGCTTAAGTGTCAAGCTTTACACCAAGTGGTCAACAAGAGTGAGCCTCAGAGGACTTCCTTCCTCCAGAGCAAAGGAAGTGTGAGATTTAAGAACTTGACCCTTAGCGCCTGGCAGACCTTCTGCCTTTGAATCTTGGCTCACTACTTAACGCATTTCAGAGTCATGCACAGCTTCAGAGAACGACAGGACCCGAATTGATGCACCACGAGCGCCTGACATATAGAAAACAGTAATTGCTTGATATGGAGTAAATAAATGTTTCGTATTAAAATAATTATCTCAGTCATGGATCCATGCAAAACAAAAAGTGCGCATCATAATTTACTCTTGAGCAAACATCAATTGCTAAAAACATATTCTCAAGTTCTAAAAACATGCATAACATGTTTAACCGCCGTAAAATAGTGACACATCAATGCAAGTTTATCTCTTACTGCAAATGTGTAGTTAGTGGGCTGCAAAGCAGCATCAGGTATCCCCTCTAGTAGCATGTTGCTATTTTAAGATGTAGCACACTAAAAAAAACAAAAAACAAAAGATTATTGAACAGTAGTAAAAACTTCCGTTTAGAGTTTTGCTTGTGTATAACTTTACAAACTGTAGATGAAAAATATTCCTGAAATTTGTGTGTAGGTTTAGGAACGCAATTTTAGATGACCGTTAAAGCTTTTTAAAAAAGCCTAGCCTCTCTTCAAGGTTCAGCTGAGGTGGATTCCCTGAGTCACACTCTGGCTTCTCTCCAGGGAACTGCAAACCCTACCTTACGAATCTCGGTGCTAGGGACCCGGCCACTCCCGGCCCCGCCCCTGCCTAGCCACCGGGTCCAGGCCCTGCCCCAACAGCGCCGCCTGCATCTCCCATGAGCCTCTTCGGCTGTCACTCAGAAGGGAAACATCTGCCCTGAAGCAGCCGTTAAAATGCTAATCGCATACATACACATACGTACATACATACATGCATACATAACTAGATAAATAAATATACAAATAAAAGTACAATGAGAATCCCTTTGGGCTGCGGCCTCAGGGTCCAAGTGGAAGGCGGGACTTCCGCTCTCTGGGGTTTACGTCAGTCAGGAGGCGGAAGCGCGGCAGGGCGAGCAGGTTGTGGCTCTGGGTAGCTCTGTTTTTGCCTGTGTGGTCACGCGGCTGTCCAGCCGACAGTGCGGATCCCAGGGCGCCCTACAGTCCTAGGTAAGTAGGACAGCCTGGCGTCGCCGTGAAGCATAGTGTGGTCCTGGCACTGACCTGCCACTGCCGTCTTCGTTGCCACGGGGAAGCGGTCTCTCCGCCGCCCTCACCGAAGGCTTCTCGCTTTTCCCGTTTCCTTCGTCTCCTAGCCTGCTTTCCACCCGTGCTGCCCGCCGGCAGGGCCCCTTCTGAGACGCCCTTCAGTCCTGGAACGTGCCTTTCACAATTTGGCTGTTACGCCCACAGTCCCAACCCGCCTTCGTTTCGCCCCTTGACTCAGCCGCAGCAGACACCTGACGATTCGTTTAAAACTGGCGTCTGTTTTGTAGCCCGATTATCCCGGGCTCTCCCGAAAGAATCAAGCATCTTATAAAAAATTAGTTCGTTGCCTCTGAAGCACTGCTCACCCGCCCCCATTTTTCTTCTAGATACCAGGGATTGAACCCAGGGCCTTCTCACTGTTACATCTCCAACCCTTTTTTATTCTGAGGCAGGGTCTTGTTAATTCTCTGAATTGCCCAGGCTGGTCTAGAACGTACCATCCTCCTGCTTCAGTCTCCCAAGAGTGCTGGGCTTGCAAGCATGCACAACCATGCCTGGGTGGAAGCTTTTTTGGTGTGGTTGCTTGAATAAGAATTTTCCCACTGAGTTCTATGTTCCTTATTTTGGGATCTCTCCTTTTTTTTTCCCCCTCTATGGGGGCTCGAACTCAGGACCTTGTGCATCTGAGGCAGGCGTGGTGCTGCTAAACTGATCCCTGTTTTAAAAAGCAGGAAGTGTGGAAACCAACAGCCTGAAGTGTTCTCATTAGCTTTGTGACCGTGGACCTCCAAATGTATAAAATGATCATAAGTAAAAGAACCAGTTTCAAGTATCTTACACAATATCTGGTGCAGAGTAGGTACCTGATTAATGTTAGATACCTTTTTAGCTTTCAGAATACACAATGATTGCTGTGAATATTTTTTAAATGAATGGAGAGGCACCATAAATGAGTGGTTTTTCTTCCTAGTACTTCGATCATATGGACAGTGTCAACTGTTGATATATTTGGTAGCATTTGGTAAGTACAACTTAATGTGTATGAAAGTATATTGCATATTAAAATATGTATTTAATATGTGTTAATAATATATGTGATATTAACAGCTTCAAGAACATTACATTAAATGTGACCCTTTAAATTTGTGATTTAAGTCTCTGCTTTTCAGAGGTATCTTTTTTTTTTTTCCTGTTTGTTTGTTCTTTGGTATTGGGGATCGAACGCCGGTCCTTGCACTTGCAAGGCAGGCGGTGAAACCACTGAGCTAAATTCCTGGCCCCAGAGGTATCTTTTTGAAGAGAATAAAAAATTGCAAACAGGCTAGCTGTTCTTAACTTTTAGTTTACAATTAAAGTATGGTACATTTTAGATGTGTGTGCATACATTTTTCACAGGTAATGTAAAGGGCTGATCAGTTGCCCCTGAGCACAATTGAAACAACAGGAAGATGGCAGCAAACTCTTCAGGACAAGGTAATGCATGTTGGAATTTCTATTATTACTAGAAACTTTTTCCACATATAGTAAATGCATTTGAATTAGAAAACATTTAGTATAGGGCAGTTACAACAGCCAGAATTAAAAAATGAATAATAAAGTGAATCTCCACATTTGAAATCAGCCCAGTATTTTACCAGATACACAATATCTTTAATATTCTTAGTCGTTTATTTTCACTAGTGTTAAAGATTATTCATGTTGTAAACCACCAATATCTGTGGTTTTTTTTTGTTTTTGGTTCCTGGGATTGAACTTGGGACCTTGTGCTTGCGAGGCAGGCAGCAGCACCACTGACTATATCCTAGGCCCTGTGTTTTGTTTTTTTACTTGAAGTCAGAATCACTTTTACATTGTGATCTGGCAATATCCATGCCTTTGTCTTCATTGTTCTAAAAACTTTCACACACATTTCACCTGTGTTATATCTCACCAAATCAAGCAAGACACATGTGTTGCCTTTTATTTTAATGTTTTATAAAAGTAAAATTTAATCTCTAGAATATTAAATCACACTTTGTAAGTAATTTCCTATTTGAAAAGTTGAGGTAGGCCTCTTTCCTTTCCTTATCAAGTCTGACTTTGATTTTTATGCAAGAGTACAATGAATGTTTAAATTAAATGATTTATTACATATTACAGTAAGAGACACATCGCCATTAATCCCCCTCAAAATATTCTCCCTCTCTCTTTTTGTTTGGGTACCAGGGTCCTTGCACTTGTGATGCAGATGGTAGAACCACTAAGCTAAATCCCCGGCCCTCTCTCCCTCTCTTTGAACGCACTTATTCCATTGTTCTTGCCACAGTTATGGAAGGCCCTATTTGGAATGTCTTTAGTGACACTGTTGCGGCTTCCTTGATGTCCCGAATCAGTTCAAAGCATTTACCTTTTATGGTCATTTTTACTTTGGAAAAGAACCAGAGGATCTGGCTCACATAGTGCCAGATCTGGTAAATGAGATGAGGACATGCCATAATATTTTTATAAGCCTGCCTTTCTGTTTGATGGTACTCGGCAGCAGTATTCACCTTATTTTTTTTTGTCATACCTTTTTTTTTTTTTCAGCTTTAATTGAGTTTATTGGTACATTTTAGGTATACAGTACAGTTACATTCATTGTTGGGATCTTGTACCTCTACATGACAGGTCTTGGTTCTCATTTTTTCCCCTTACCCCTGCCCTCCCTTCACCCCCTCCTCCCCTTCCCATCTACAAACACTTTATTTATGTCATACCTTTTAAAGATACAAAAGAGGACATCCAGAACTGGGATAACTGAAGTGAGGAGTATTTTGAGGGGGTTAATGACAGTATATCTTTTTATTTTATTTATTTATTTTTGGTACTGGGGATTGAACTTGGGTCCTTGCGCTTGGGAGACAGGCAGCAGAACCACTGAGCTAAATCCCCAGCCTTGTATGTTTTTTACCATAACAAATTTTTAAAAATTTAAACATTTACTGAAATTTTCAGTCACCCCTTTTATGTTTGACCCACCATCATTTTTAAAAACTATTTTCTCCGATCTGTTTAGTTTTGTTGTTTTTGGTTTTTTTGAGACAGTGTCTTGCTGTGTAGTTCAGGCTGGCCTTGAACTCTTGGGCATCTTCTTGCTTGCCTCAGCCTCCCAAATGTAGGGATTGCAGGCATGTGCCACCATGCCTGGCTGAGTTTTGTTTTAATATTAGTTTTGTGTTAAATGTGACAAGATGAAGTCATAAAGTATATACGTATTTTGTTAGTGTCTTTTACTACATTGCTTATGAGATTTATATTTTGCATGGATCAGTAATACATCACAATTTATTGTGTGTAAGTACATCACAATTTATCCTTCTCTTTGTGGGCTTTGGAATTGTCTCAGTTTTGACCACTGTGAATAAAACTGTTTTATAAGTCTTTTTGTAGATACAGATTTCATTTTTCTTGATAAATATCTAGGAAAGGTTATCACCAATGCTTGCCAAAAATGTCCTATTTTAGAGTCCTAGCAATGTGAGAGTTATGTTTACTGTACCTTTAGTTCTGTCAAGTCTTTTTAATTTTAGCAATTCTAGACTGAAGTGACATCTTGTAATACTGTATTAACTTACATTTACATGACAGTGTACTTTTTTCCCATTTTTGGACATTGTACATCTTCCTGAATGTTTGCTCATTTTAAAAAATTAGGTTATTTCTCCTTTTCAAGTTGTTTTGTTTCATTTTGTTTGAGTAAGGATAAAGCCCACCCAAGGTCAGATAAAGTTTTTCTTTAATTCCTCCCAGTTTTGTTTGTATTTGCATTATATTTTTGGTCTTGTTCTTTTTTTTTTGGTACCGGGGATTGAACTTGGGTCCTTGCGCTTGCAAGGCAGGCCACTGAACCGCTGAGCTAAATCGCCGGCCCTGGTCTTGTTCTTATCTGTATGTAATGTGTTCTTTTTTTTCTGGATGCTTTCAAAGTATTTTTTTTCCTTTGTATTTCAGAAGCTTGACTATGATATATCTAGGGACAGTTTTCTTGCTTGGGATTTCTTGATCATTTTGGATCTGTATGTCGATGTCTTTCACTAAATTTGGGACATTTTGCAGATAAAAATTTTTTTGAATTAAAATTTTCCTTTTATTCTGGGACTACTTTGCTTATTTTTTCTCAACAGTTTTTCCGTTTAAGTTTCAGATTGGGTAATTTCTAATGCTCTAATTTAAAGTTTAATAACTATTCTGCCGTCTTCAATCTGGTGTTAATTTAGTCCAAGGAACATTTTGTTTCAATTATTTTTATCTCTAGAATTTCCTTTTGGGTATTTTCTGTAGCTCATGTTTCTCTGTTAAAATGTCCACTTTTCGGAAAATGTGCCTATTTTCCTAGAGTTCTTGGACATATTTATAAATCTGATTTAAAGTCCTTGACTCTTCATTGAATCATCTGGGTCATCTTGCTGTTGTTTTCTACTGACTGCATGTTTTCTCTTATGGGCCACATTTTTCTTTTCCTTCTGTGATCAGTGATTTATTATTGGATACTAGACATTGAACTGAAACATTATAGAGACTCTGGATTTTGTTATTTTCTTCAGAAATGTGATTTTTATTCCAGCAGACAACTTGCCTCGATTCAGACACCAAATTCTTGTCTCCTTGGTGTTGGACAGCAACTTAAATCTTGCTTCATTGTCTTCAGCGTCCAGGTGCTACATTATTTTGCACTCTTTTGCATCTCCCTTAGATACGTGTGAGAACGTAATAGTGAGAGAACGCTTTGGTTAGGTTTTATTTGCAAATATTGGGCTTTGTTCCTTTTGCTTTCCCTCTCAGGTCTCACCCCTAGTTTTCTGTCTACAATTCTACCGTCAGTTCTGTCCTTTGATATTTCAAGCTAGTAAGTCAGGGTCACCTGAGCTCTTTGTGGATGGGTAAGGGGAGTATGTCAAGCAAAAAGCCACCAGTTCTTAGATTCAGTAGTTACAGTTTCTCACTGGTTTAGCTTGGTCTTCAATGTCTTCAAATAATGAATTTACAAACAAAAGTTTCTCCAAAATGTATCTATTTGTGACCAAAATTACTCTGCTGGTTCTGGAAGTTAGAAGACTGCTGATTCTGTTTTGGATTATTAATCATATTTAGGAACAAACTAAAGGCTACACTAAATTTATAGAAATGTAATATATATAGGTGCCAGTTTGGTGACACACTGTTGTAATCCCAGTACTTGGGAGGCTGAGGCAGGAGGTTTGCCGTGAGTTCAAGGCCAGCTTGGGTTACATAGTGAGTTCATAGCCTGAACTACAGAGAACTACAGACTGAACTACAGAGAAAGACCCTCTCTCAAACATAACAAAACAAGACAAACAGTATGTATAGGTTAAACATCCTTAATCCAAAAATTCAAAATCTGTGCACGTCTCAAAATCTGAAATCTTTGAAGTGGCAACAATGCCACTAGTGGAAAATTCCTCATTTGACTTCAGCTCATTTGACTTCAATATTACATTTCTTCTTTTATTTGAGATGGGGTCTTGGCTAAGTGTTTAGACTACACTTGAACTTGCAGTCTTTCTGGCTCAGCCTCCCAGATAGCAGGAATTACAGGCATTCATGGTGCCTGAAAGTATTATATGAGATTACCATTAGATTATACATAGAAAGTGTATGTGAAACAAATGAATTTCATGTGTAGACTTTGGTGTCGTGCCCAAGATAGCATATTATGTATCTGCAGGCATTCCAGAATCTTTTTTTTTTTTTTTTTTTTTTTTTTTGGGGGTTTTTTTTTTTTTTTTTTTTTTTTTGAGACAGGGTCTCACTATGTAGTTGAGACTGACCTGGAATTCAGTATGTAGCCTAGGCTGGTCTCAAACTCACAGTGATCCTCCTGCCTCTGCCTCCTGAGTGCTGGGATTACAGGCATGCGCCACCATGCCTGGCTACATTCCAGAATCTTAAAGAAGTCCAAAATACTTACGGTCTCAAGCATTTTGTATAAGGGATAATCAACCTTCCTCGTAAAAAGATAGTTAAGCTGACAGCTTTCACAGCTGTAACCCCTACTACTTTTCTGACTGTCAAATAACCATATATGATTTATGTGCTCTGTGGACTAATAACAGGTCCAAAAGTCTCTGACCTTTTCTTTATTTTATTTTTTCCCCTTTATATAATTATAAAGGTTCAGATTAAAAAATTTAACTTGGGTTCTGTCCCTAGCATCCTTCTCCCTCCCCAAACCCTCAACCCTCCTGACACTCCCGCCCCGCTGTGAGCCAACATGAAAACTAAGAGAAGTCTATTTATAAAAGAAAATGTGCTAGCTGGGTGTTGTGGCACACGCCTGTAATCCCAGCACTCAGGAGGCAGAGGCAGGAGGATTGCTGTGAGTTCGAGACCAGCCTGGGCTACATAGTGAGCTCCAGGTCAGTCTCAAGTACATAGTGAGACCCTGTCTCAAAAAACCCAAGAAACAAATAAACAAACAAACAAAAAACTCAGAA